TTAAAATTTTTCGACTATTTACAGGAGCCATGATGTGACTAATTTCTGCAAATTGAACTTTCTAATTTTTATCTTTTACGTAATACTGCTTTTATTCAACAATACAATTATTACAGAACTTGGACTCATTGGAAAATTGTAATTTCTATGTATGTTTGGTATTCATTCGTTAACTTCGAATGGATTAATTGTTTGAATTACATTAGATTTAGTTTGAATTATTATTCTGAATGGTTTTGTTTATTAGATATATATAATGCAAATTTCTCATACATTTCTCATCGTAACTTAATATATTAACTGTTAATTATTTTTCAATACGTAGCCCTATTTGAAATTGAATTTAATATTCTCCATCATTATAATCATACACTTTTTTTTGCCATCATTTGTACTTTTTTGAACTACATTATATTCGCTTGGTTTTCCGATTTGGATTTAATTAGATGGCTTTGCTTATTTGATATATATAATCCATTTCTCACAATTTTTTGGTTCAAATACAGCATTAATTATTTTTATGTTTCTGTATTTACAGCCTTATTCGGAGTTAAAAATCATTTTTAACTCGTGATATTTTAGAGCATACACTCTATTTGTTTATCTTTTTTGTCTTATGTCATTTAATTTTATTTGAAACATTAATTCAAAAATTGAAATTAGCTGCACAATATTAGGTGGGTGACTGTCAGTTGTTTTCGGCCCAAATTAAGTTTAATTTGGGTCGAAATTAGAATTCATTGATAAATTGTAATTGCTCCCTTTTGAGAGTAAATTGAATTTAAGTGAGATATGTAACTTGGTTTTTATTGTGCTTTGCAAAAAGGTGTGACCCCATAAAAATTCAAGTTTATCAATCATTAATTGTTGATAAATTCAAATTTTGGTGTGATAAACTCGAATTTTTAAAACCGGTTCCAACCTCTATTGCAAACCCTTTTTCTGTCAACTCAAATTTTTTTACTTATCGCGTGTTATTCAGAATTATTTTATTGTAGTTAAAGTTTAATGTAGATTGTAATTTGTTCACAGAGGCACATGATTTGATGTCCTCACGGGTCTGCGAAGTCATAAATTCAAGCAAAATTAATATTAATTCTGGGCGTAAAAAGGCAGTATCAAATTTTAAATTTCAAGCAAAATTAAGTATTTATAGACAAAGTAGATGGCGTTTCTGTTAACGCAATCAAGGTAACCATTCAGGCAAAAGGCCTTATTGGTTAGATGATCTACAGCACGTGATCTGGTAAATTTTTTACTATAACATACCAATACTAGTAGATCTACGTTGTGGATCTACATTGTTTACATCACAAAATATAGTATGTACAAACAGGATTTTGCTAAAGTTTTCAAGGAGTTTTTGAAAAAACATAAAGCGCCTGACAGAATTGAAGAAATAAGCTTATATAATTTCTTACTATTTTGTCAAAAGACCCTCGCAGAAAGATCAGAAACACTTAATTGGGAAGATAAGTCATCTGTGCACCAAGAAAACTATAACGGAATTAAAAAAAAAACAGGTAATAATTTCTAGAAAAAATTTTATCAAATATTATTATAATTAAATTTTTTTTTTTTTTTTTGCGTGTAGACAGTAGAAATCAAACATGGGAAAAACATGGCAAAAAAGACCTGAAGAATGTGCTAGAAATGTATAAGGTGAATGAAATTATATTTAATATGCAATTTTTTTAAGTGCAATGATTGAAAACATCTACTACTTAAAAGATATATTTATGATAAATATATTATAAGTTCAGACTACTCGATTATAAATTTTCCAAGTAATATTTCAATATTATAGTACGTTGTATGTGAGTTATTACTTCGTGCTCTTGGATTATATTTATAGCATTAAGAAAGATGCCAAGCGATCTCTTTTTCTAGATCATGCATGCCGTATGTGAAATATTACGTTATGCAGCTTGGGTTAATTTATATAATGTACTGAAACCTTTCAAATAATCTAGTTTTAGTAATTATATTATTCAGAGTGTATTAGAGTAATTGTTATCTGCAAACATTCCGTAATATATTTATTAATTCTAAATGTAATTTATTTAAATAGAAAGTATATACCAAAGGATATTATCCAATCCTTCAATTTTGGGCTGATGTTGCAGCAATCCATTATATCGGTAATATTATTTCATACTGTTAATTTATTTTTTGGCATTCAATAATACTGTAATATATGTATTGTTTAATTTAGGACCTAAAAACTATGAATCTCTTATTAATAAAGTTCAAACTTTGATTAGTTCATGTGAGGACGTCAATGTTTTAAAGTGCACTGCAAAGTATGTTGCAAACCTTTCAGAACAACAAATTAGAACAATCATCCTGAAGGCTGAAAAAGGTATAAAGTCTAATATTATAAATAATTATACGGAGATGATGGTAAATTATTTTTGACAATAAAATTCTGTGGTGTTAAATTGTACTATAATAATTAATAATCATTAATCATTATTAATTAGTTACAAAGCAATCTTCCTTCTTGGTTTTCAGAGTGTTTAAAGAAACTAAAAGATTATGAAGATGAATTGTTTGATGTTCCCATCATGAACCCTATTTTTTGCAACATTATAGACATAAGTAAATTTGGTGCAAAAATTTGGCATCAAATTTTTGATAAAAATCAAATTAAGCTGCTTTTTCTGGATAAAATTTTTGAATTTTCTCTTTCAGAATATGAAAATATTTATCTCAGAATAAAAAATGCCCTACATAAATATGAAATGAATTCAGAATGTGCTCCAATAATTGAAATAAATGGATTTGAAACGAAGGATAAAGCAACATATCTTAACATCTTAGAAAATTGGTAAGAAAATAAGTGTTTATGTTCATAGATTTACCGTGAATACAGTATTAATAATCTTTTCAGGTTTAGAGAGTGGGTTAATCCATCACCTGTAATGCCTGAATCGTATTATGTGGAGATTTACATTTATCGACCACTTCAAATAATTTTGCATGATTTACTATACTTACGAATTCATCTCTATGGGTAGCTAGCTATATCTTTTAAATTATGAGTTGAGTTAGAAGAATATTGTTCAATTATTTATTTATATTTATTAACAGTCCTGAACATGAAACTAAATGTTTTTTTGAAAGAAGAAGTTGGTATCATTATCCGCCGTATGGCAAGTGGCCATCAGATTTAGAGGAATCTCGAAGAATATTTGATGTACCGGATGAGCTCAATGATAAAAACATTATTGTTGAAAAAAAAGTTATAATTAAAAATCAAATCGATGATAAATCTATTATTTTTTCATCAAATGCTACTATTCTATTAAATGAAGATCCGAAACCAGGAATTACCTATGTTCGAGTTTATTCTAAGAGGTTGATACAGCCTAGTGATGCGATCCGTAAATTTCAAATAATATAAATAATCTACGAGTTACTTTAAATCTGTAGATATTCATCGGTTTAAAGTAACCTATAGATTATTTATATTATCTGTTCGGTTCGCATCACTAAGGATGCCGAATTTATTATACAAAACTATATTCGAAAAAAAAAAGCAACATTGGTAATGGAGTAACTAAAGCTAAATTTGATAGAATTAGAAAAGAATTTCGTAAAGCAAAAAAAAATCTTTATAAGGCAGATCCTTAATAATTTTTTAAGACCGATAATTAACGATCAGAATTCCAAATATTTTTTTAAAAATACAAAGGTTTTTAATTATGATAAAATTATACTTGACTAGTCAAAAATTAGCCACACTTTATTTTTAAGACGTGTAAATTGTTAATAAACTCATGAAAAAAATATATTACATATTACAAGGTATCATCTTGTCTAAAATTTGTACAAAAAAGAAGTATTTTTTTTTTAAAAAAATAGAATAGATATCACCTCCGGCGAAATTTCGAGGGACGAAGAATTAGCCATATTCACATTCGCGAAATGTGGCGCAGCACTACTTCATGTGACCAATTTTTAATTGTGCAATTCTGATTGGTCACATTAAGTTGTGCTGCGTCACATTTCGTGATTATGTGAACACTAATTCTTCTTCCTTGGAAACTTTGGCGGATGTGTCACCTATCTTTATTTAATCCAAGTGGGCACAAAAATTTAATATTTATTAATTAATTGTGCCTGGCACTTTGCCTGCCACTAGTGTCTGGCCTGGTGCCAATATGCCTGGCATGCCCACTTGCAGACCCCTAGTTGACACCATTTGTCAGTTAATAATGGATCGGTTGGATTCAATTATTTAATCTTTCTAATGTTTTTGATTGATTAAGGAGTAAATTTTCTTTTCTGATTCATTAAATTTTTTTGTTAAATGAGTAAATTCTTTTCTAGTTCATTCATTCTCATGACTTTTTTCATTCATATTTTCCATGAGTCGTATATTTATTGGAGAATTGTAAAACTTTCTTAGTTGGGATTTTTTAGATTCATTACCCATTGTGATTTTTTTTTCAGCATTAGAGGTAGGTATTATGAAAATTTAAAAAATAAGATTAAAATTATAATAAAGGTTTTGAAAGTATAAACAGTGAAAATGATATCCATTTTGAGAATTGGATTCTCAGTATGTTTCTCCAAAATTTGAAGTTCTTGTTCAATTAAGAAAATTTAAATATTTTAAGGATCACATTAAACTTTTTCAAATCATCAGGATTAATTGGTAATGAATAAAGTAATTAAGATAGTCTAAATCCAATTCAATTATATCAATGTCGTTATCACAATTTTTGAAGAATTTAACGCAGTCTTTAGCTAATGATGAATCTAATGTCGTCAATATTCCTAAAAGTCTACCCTTCTCTGCATTTGCCAAAGCTTTTCTCTCCTTTATATTCTTAAAATTCTTTACGAAATATCCTGATATTAACATAGAGAGCTCATTTGTTGATTTCTTTTTTGTTTCAAATGCCTTTGTTTCAAGTAGTTTGTTTTCTTCTAATAATTCAATTTGCTTTACTAAGTCACCTAAATCGAAAACTTCTCGAGCGGATTCAGTTTTGGACAAATAGATAAACAAATCGATAATAGAATATATATAACAAATATATAAAAATATTGTAAGATAGCAAATGATATTAAAGAAATCCATTTTGCAATTTATTAATCAACAATGTGATTTCTGCACAGCCTGGAAGGTGCTTCTGATCAATTTAAATAAATTATTGAAAACCAATTTTTGCATAACTTATTTTTGTTGTGAAAAATCTTTAATAATTGTACGAAAACTTGTTAAATAAAGAGAAGCTTTTTCATTTTTTTCAAGACCGGATGCATTATCATGCAGCATTTTGAGGCTTAGTACGCGTGTTAGAACGTTGTTCTTTGTTATTCTTACATAATAATAGTTATAAAAAAAAAAAAAATTTTCTATATTTTCTCAAGACCTGATTTTTCATAATGTGCATTATCGCGCAGCACTTTGAGGCATAATATGTACGTGTATTCAAACGCGCTTTGTTCTTTGTGGACAATTAGTTTACCGAATTTATTTTTTCTCAAGACCTGATTTTTCGCAAATATGCATTATCGTGCAGCACTTTGAGGCTTAGTACGTACGCGTATTCCTATGTTTATTGTGGTACAATGCAATTAAGTGAATTAGACTACGTATAAAAATGTTAACCCAGTTCAAATAACGCAACTTATAATCTAAATTATATATATGGGGTCTTTGCCTTGAAAATCAAGTTATGGAACATAGTAAATCATATGCCCCATACTTGATTTTCAAGACAAAGACCCCATATTGTTTACCGAATTTATTTTTACATAATAAATTCGGTACCAAACATAAGTCTTGGCATCATCACGTAACTTAGTACTTCCAGTAATATAAAAACCAGTTTTTACAATCAAAAGAGGAAATATAACGGGAAAATTCATTTTTAAAAATGTTCTCAAAGAATCAAATAAACGAATGGAATCAGAACTCGCTACAGTTACATTACGGCATTCCAATAAAAAACCAAATTACAATACAACTATTAATCTCAAGCAAGTAACTTACAACAAAATAGACAAGAGTTTAGAAGCCAAAAAAGGAACGAATCCTTCATAATCAGAAACAATAATGTAGAAAAAAAATTCTTTAAAATGAAAAACATGAATTTAGAATTTTCTAAAAACTTCTCATTTTCCATTATCAGAAATACGTAAGCTTTTTTAATGAAGAAATTGATTTTTTTTTAATAAATTCTTGAATTAATAATATAAATTGTTGAGTAATTTTTTTAGATGTGAATTATAAAATATAAATTTAATAAATAATCCTCGTAAAACATAAGAACAATTGAGGTTAATTCAATTTTGTTATTATGTGACTTAAAATATCGTGTAGTTACGGATATAATTTTTCAGCAATAATATATTAATAGATAAATAAACATATACGTATAAATTATATATAATTATATAACTGATAATAAAAGGAATAAGAAAAAAAAACAATCTTAAAAAATTGTTAAATAACAAAAAATTATATGAATAACTATCTATCCTGATACGAAAAAAAATATATATCCGTAAGTGTGGGCAACTACAACTTTACTTAGCACGTATTGCGAAAGACTATGTTTTTAATGAATAGGCCTTGTATAAATTTTTTTATTAGATAATAATTAAGAATTCGGTTTTTGTCATTTTTGAAGCGAAGTAGCGGAAAGTTTCAAAACGAAAGATTCTTTATTATATATTTTTTTACATTTTTTTTATTTTAGCGAGTCGAATTGGGATTCAAGAACATTTTTAGTTTATCCTCTTATTTACTAGGAAGAATTCGAATTTTTTCCAATTAAGAATCATAACCTTAAAGCAGAATAACTATACAGGTGAGTTTTCTCATTGATTACTTGTTGAGTTATAGTATATCCAAAGTTACGCTGCCACATTGGTGCAATGAAATCTGATAGAGAATTGAAAGCGCATCGGTCCAACTATTTGGTTGAACGTTCTCCTCTATCAGTTATCGATATTCTCGTAGTACTGGCCCTGTCTGTGTTAGAGAGAACCTTTCTGTATTAAAATACTAGAAAGCGTGCATCTGGGAAGTTGGTGAATAGGATATACTCTAGCATTAAAGCATGTAACTGTTGACTATTCTGGCCATGTTCATTGTTAGTTGATAATTATGACGCAAGTTTTTAATAATAAAATTTTATCCAAAAAACAGATTCTCGTTTGCCAATAAAGCAGCATTTCGCCATCATTCACTAGAACTACTAGAAAATTGAATCTGTAATTGTATTGTTTAATCATTTTTATTATAAATATTAATACATAATTTAATTAAAAATTTTCGAAATGGAATTGTTGCAATAAATAATGAAGAAAATTTCTTTTAAATAAAAATTAATAAGATATGAATAATTTAATTCGAGTAATAAATAAATAAATAAATAAAAATTGGCTAAATAATGGCTTAAACTAGTGTTTAATATTGAATAACTCAAGAGAGAATTGCTATTGAAAATTTCACCAGCAATCCTGACTAACAAAAAATTTTCATGAGCTTATCAAAGCCCATCAGCTCCTGTCATCTCGAACCATAGAATTTCCATCATAAACTGGAAAATTGATCAGAGCTTCGTTATCTAAACCAGTCTCGAGCCATAAATATTCAGGCTTTTGCTATAAATGACCCATTTAGAAAGTCATTTATAGCAAAATCCCATGCGAACTAGCATTTTAAATAAAAGAACGTTACTACTTATAATAAATTAAATAAGTAAAAAGTTAAAAAAAATTACTTATCGATTGTGTTTTTATCCATAAACCTCTATACTGGAATAAATGATAGCTCGTTTGGCTTTCCATTAGACCACAAGTATTCAGTTGCTCTTTGACGAAAGAACAGATGGTAGAGATAAGTGTATGTCCCTCAAGCTTAACAAGATGTTTAGAGTTAAGTCAATTAGTTAGCCAATTGATTCACAAAAAAAATAAATACAGTATTTAATTTGTATGAAATTAAAGAAAGATGGAAGTAATTTTGAAATTCCCAACGATTTTTCAAAACGAAAAAGAACATAAAGCTATTTCTACTATAAAGGTAATGGTCAAAGTAAAAAGTCAATAAGCACGAATACCACTAATACTCTCCAAACTCTTTTTTTAAATGAAAATTTTCTAAATTTTCAATGTCTTTTTGTAATTTAAGAATATCTTTACGCATAGTTTTGTATTCAAGGGAAAAAGAAGCTTCTACTAGACAATTACTTTTACACGATAATTTGATTTGTTCTGATAAGTATTCAAGAAATTCATCAATGGTATAATTCTCTTCATCAATGGTGTATTTTTTAACTTCATAATTCTCTATCTTTTCTACTGCTTCATAATTTAAACCTATATTTTTTATAATCATGTGGTTTGCATTTAATTTAGAAGTAGAATTAAATCGATTAGATGCTTGATTTAATTGATCAGATGCTTCTTTTGATTTTAATCGATCAGATACTTCTTTTGATTTTAACTGTTGATTTAATCGATCAGATACTTCTTTCGATTTTAGTGCTCGTAAAGATAGAAATTTGGAATATTTAATTTCGATATCTGAAGCAGAGTAACTACAGTAATGCAAACCTATAATAAGATTCTCAGGAGATGGCACTTTATAAAATTGATTATAATGAATAGAGAGCAAACTTTCTATTATTTTGAAAACTTCAAAATCGAGAGATTGAGATAAGTTATTATTTTTTCTTATTTTATAATTAGAACAGAAAGAATTTTTTTTCAGTGCGGCGTTGTCTATTGTAGAAATTGGAAAATGAATATTCTGGTTTCTTTGCTCATATAATGAAGTTTCAACGATAATGGTATTAAATTGATCGGATGCGGATGGGTTTGAACTTTCATTTGTATCTTTTGAAAGATCATTAAATTTATCGTGGTGATTAAATAATGATTCATTGCCATCCTTAGGCGTTACAGGATTAAATTTGAACATTAAATGTAATAATAGAATTTTTTTCATTGTTGATGCAACGAAATGGAATCGTGCCCTTCTTGAAAATGCCCTGAATACAATGGATGTAATATCAGGACGGGAAAAAAATATGATGCAAAATAAGAGCATTAAGAATATTGCGAAGTAAAAAGTTTTTTTCACTATTTTTAGATTTAATTTAGCTAAAATTTTTTTTATGTTTATTTTAAGTAAAAAAGAGGAAATTGTAGTATTGAAGTAAGAAAGGGGCATAAATTCAAAATTAAAAATGCTTTTGTTTCTAGATAATGCTGATAAATGAAGTTTGAAGATATTCTTTACGAAAATAGGCTGAATTAATTTTCCTCTCGATGAACGTTTACTTTTCATTGTATTATCTGAACAAATAGATTCAGATTTGTAGATAGTACTTGTAAATAATACAGAAAACCCAACAACGAGACCAGGGAACAACAAGAGAGGTGGAATCGGAATCATATTTAATATTAAAATCAAAGATGCGAATATCAAAGTAGCAAAGATCAAAGAAATAAAAAAAATAAAAGTCAGGAAAATTGTATAAACAATTTTCAGCAAAAGGAAAATAAAATAAGAGAAAATAGTAGTTGCTGCATAGGCGATTCTTAGCAATAATACTAATAGCTTTAAACAGTTTTTACTTGACATTTTGCAATTGTAATTTTTAGTTGATTTTGAAAACTAGATTTTACATGATTCTTTTAATACATTTTTTCGTAAATGAACTTGCCCAAATAAGAAAATAATTAAAACAATTTTGTTTTAATTTATGCTATCTTTGCCACGGTTATTCGTATTACCAGTCACAGGACATGTCCTTTTACAGGGTTCCAAATGTTGTTTATATGATAATTTGGATGTCGATCATCCAATTTTTATATAGAAATTTTACCCTTGCAAAAGGTTCTTTCTATGACAACCCCAAATTCGTGAAACCATTTATCTATTGCTTTTTAAATCAAAAATATAGC